AACGGGGTCGGTGCTGGCCTGCCACTTCCGGCCCAACCCGCTGGTACGGGATAACGGGATAACGGGGTCGGTGCTGGCCTGCCACTTCCGGCCCAACCCGCTGGTACGGGATAACGGGATAACGGGGTCGGTGCTGGCCTGCCACTTCCGGCCCAACCCGCTGGTACGGGATAACGGGATAACGGGGTCGGTGCTGGCCTGCCACTTCCGGCCCAACCCGCTGGTACGGGATAACGGGATAACGGGGTCGGTGCTGGCCTGCCACTTCCGGCCCAACCCGCTGGTACGGGATAACGGGATAACGGGGTCGGTGCTGGCCTGCCACTTCCGGCCCAACCCGCTGGTACGGGATAACGGGATAACGGGGTCGGTGCTGGCCTGCCACTTCCGGCCCAACCCGCTGGTACGGGATAACGGGATAACGGGAATGGCATAACAGGATAACGGGAATGGGTTCAGTGCTGGGATACCGCTTCTGGCTCAACCCACTGGTACGGGATCATGGGAATGGGATCACAGGATAACGGGATTGGGATTGGGAGTGGGATCATGGGAATGGGGTCAGTGCTGGCCTACCGCTTCCGGCCCAACCCGCTGGTACGGGAATGGGATAACGGGAATGGGAATGGGATAGCAGGATTGGGATCATGGGAATGGGATGGGATCAGTGAGTACGAGGCCTTCTACAGGGGCTGGCATTCCGCTTCCAGCTCAACCCCCTGGCATAGGATCCCGGGATTGGGATAGTGGGAATGGGACTGGTATGGGAATGGGATAACGGGAATGGGAATGGGATAACGGGAATGGGATGGGATTAATGCTGGTGTATCGCTTCCAGCCAAACCCGCTGGTACGGGATTGAATTGGGATTGTGGGAATGGGAATGGGAATGGGGATGGGATGGGATGGGATGGGATGGGATGGGATGGGATGGGATGGGATGGGATGGGATGGGATGGGATGGGATGGGATGGGATGGGATGGGATGGGATGGGATGGACTGAGTGGAGTTGGGAATGGGAATGGGATGGAGCCAGTGATGAGGGAGAGTCCCAGGAATGGGGCAGGGACGGATCCCCTGGAATGGGAATGGGATGGATCCCCTGGAGTGGGAATGGGATGGATCCCCTGGAATGGGAATGGGACAAATCCCCTGGAGTGGGAATGGGACGGATCCCCTGGAGTGGGAATGGGATGGATCCCCTGGAATGGGAATGGGACAAATCCCCTGGAGTGGGAATGGGACGGATCCCCTGGAGTGGGAATGGGATGGATCCCCTGGAATGGGAATGGGATGGATCCCCTGGAATTGGGAGTGCTCCAAACCCAGGCAGGCACAGGGACAAATCCCTGGAATCTCTGGTGTAGCTCTGGGAGTGTTGGGAACGGGATAACGGGAATGGGATAACGGGAACGGGATAACGGGGTCAGTGCTGGCCTGCCGCTTCCGGCCCAACCCGCTGGTACGGGATAACGGGAATGGGAACGGGATAACGGGAATGGGATAACGGGAACGGGATAACGGGGTCAGTGCTGGCCTGCCGCTTCCGGCCCAACCCGCTGGTACGGGAATGGGATAACGGGAATGGGAATGGGATAGCAGGATTGGGATCATGGGAATGGGATGGGATCAGTGAGTACGAGGCCTTCTACAGGGGCTGGCATTCCGCTTCCAGCTCAACCCCCTGGCATAGGATCCCGGGATTGGGATAGTGGGAATGGGACTGGTATGGGAATGGGATAACGGGAATGGGATGGGATTAATGCTGGTGTATCGCTTCCAGCCAAACCCGCTGGTACGGGATTGAATTGGGATTGTGGGAATGGGAATGGGAATGGGGATGGGATGGGATGGGATGGGATGGGATGGGATGGGATGGGATGGGATGGGATGGACTGAGTGGAGTTGGGAATGGGAATGGGATGGAGCCAGTGATGAGGGAGAGTCCCAGGAATGGGGCAGGGATGGATCCCCTGGAATGGGACAAATCCCCTGGAGTGGGAATGGGACGGATCCCCTGGAGTGGGGCCGGGACGGATCCCCTAGAATGGGAATGGGACGGATCCCCTGGAGTGGGGCAGGGATGGATCCCCTGGAATGGGACAAATCCCCTGGAATGGGAATGGGATGGAGCCAGTGATGAGGGAGAGTCCCAGGAATGGGGCAGGGATGGATCCCCTGGAATGGGAATGGGACAAATCCCCTGGAGTGGGAATGGGACGGATCCCCTGGAGTGGGAATGGGATGGATCCCCTGGAATGGGAATGGGATGGATCCCCTGGAATGGGAATGGGATGGATCCCCTGGAATGGGAATGGGACAAATCCCCTGGTATGGGAATGGGATGGAGCCAGTGATGAAGGAGAGTCCCAGGAATGGGGCAGGGACGGATCCCCTGGAATGGGAATGGGATGGATCCCCTGGAATTGGGAGTGCCCCAAACCCAGGCAGGCACAGGGACAAATCCCTGGAATCTCTGGTGTAGCTCTGGGAGTGTTGGCAGCTGGGAAATTCCTCTTGGATGGAATTCCTCTCCTCATGCTGAACCAAATCTTCCTCCCAGAGTTCCCTGGATGCAGAATTCTCCTTCCCTTTTTTCTTTTTTTTTCATTCAAATCCCAATTTCATTCCCAGCTTTATCCCAGTTAAGCCCCTGCCAGGGGAGGCTTCTCCACGAATCCCATGATTTCTTTGGAATTACATTTTCCAGGGAGCAAAACCAAGCTTGGATTTTCCCTTTTCCCTTTCCAGCCAAAAGCTGCCTTTAATTTTGAGGGGAAAAAAACCTGGAAAATGTCACATTCCAGTGGCTTTCCCAGAGAATCCAGATGCTGATTTTTGGGATAGAATGCCCAATCTTGATGATTTTTCCTTTTTTTTTTTTTTTTTTTTTCCCCCAAAAAAAACCCCCAGGGCCCCTTATCCCCTGCCAGGGGAGGCTTCTCCACGAATCCCATGATTTCTTTGGAATTACATTTTCCAGGGAGCAAAACCAAGCTTGGATTTTCCCTTTTCCCTTTCCAGCCAAAAGCTGCCTTTAATTTTGAGGGGAAAAAAACCTGGAAAATGTCACATTCCAGTGGCTTTCCCAGAGAATCCAGATGCTGATTTTTGGGATAAAATGCCCAATCCTGATGATTTTTCCTTTTTTTTTGTTTTTTTTTTTCTCCCTACAGAACAACCCACGGCGACCTTACTACTGAGGAGGACTTTTCCCAGCAGATTTCCTGGGAATTCTTATCCCAAACTTCATTATCCATCTTTTTTCTCCTGATATTATCCGTCTTTTTTTTTTTTTTTTTGGAATCACAGCTCCTCCTTCCCCCATGGAAAAGCTTTCCCAGCTTTTTTTCTGGGGACACGGGGAGGGTTTGGAGCAGCCCCAAAAATCCCCCAAGGGACTCCAATTCCAAGGAGTTTGGGGATTTTTGGGAATGGCAGATCTTGTGCTGCTCCAGGATGGGGGGGATTTTATTCCTTGATTTTATCTTGGAATCCCAAATCCAAGAGATTTTGGGGAATTTGGGGAACCAGTGCCTCCAGTTTTGCCTCTGGATGGGCGGATCTGGCCTGGATCCGTTGGGAATTCCAGGATTTGACGGATCCAGGGGGGGATTTATTCCCTTCCCAGGGATTTTGCCAACACCTCCTGTGCTTTGGGATGATGAAGACCCAAAATTCCAAAGCCACACTTTGGAAAAATCCAACAAAATTCCATCACCACGCTTTGGAAAAATTCGGTTGGATTTTGTTGTCCTAAAAATGGAAAAAAAAAAAAAAAACCAAACTCTGGAAATACAAATTTTCTTCACGGAGTCTGTAAATAAAATCAAACTTGTTTGTTCCTTAGGTTTAACCCTTGGTGTTTTTTGGGAAGAGAGGGATTTTTTCTAGGGTGGGAGGCTGCCCTGGAGCTGGGTTTTCCAAGAATTTTCAGGGGAAAAAAGCTGGATTTGGTTCCTTTTTTGGGGATACTTGATGTGATTCTTTGCTAATTTTTTTAATTACGGAGTTAAGGGCTTGGCTTTTAATTAAAACCATTCCAGAGGGGGTGGGGGTATCCAGGGAAAATCCAAAATCTGGGAAGCTGGAGCCCCAGGATCCCAGCCTGTCCCTCCACGACCCTCTGTCCTTCCTCCCAGGACCTCTGTCCTTCCCTGGATCCCAGTCCCGATCCCAGGCCTGAATCCCAAATCTGCCCTAGATCCCAGTCTTGGGTCCCAGATTCCAGTCCTGGATCCCAGTCCTTTCCTAGTTCCCATTCCCTCTCTGGATCCCATTCCCTCCCTGGATCCCAGTCCTTTCCTAGTTGCCATTCCCTCTCTGGATCCCATTCCTGATCCCAGTCCTGATCCCAGTCCCTCCCTGGATCCCAGTCCTGATCCCAGTCCTTCTCTGGATCCCTTTCCCGATCCCAGTCCTCTTGATCCCAGTCCCTGATCCCAGTCCTGGATCCCAGTCCCTCCCTGGATCCCTTTCCTGATCCCAGTCCTCTTGATCCCCTTCCCTGTCTTGGATCCCAGTCCTGGATCCCAGTCCTTCTCTGGATCACAGTCCCAGATCCCATTCCCTCCCTGGATCCCAATCCTGATCCCATTCCCGATCCCATTCCCTCCCTAAATCCCAATTCCGATCCCATTCCCTCCCTGATCCCAGTCCCTCCCTGATCCCAATCCCAGATCCCATTCCTGATCCCATTCCCTCCCCGATCCCATTCCCTATCCCAGTCCTCCCCCTGCCCCGTCCTTCCTCATTCCCAGGACTCCTTTCCTCCCTTCCAGGATCCCCCCGTCCCTCCCCTGTCCCCCTGTCCGTCCCTGCCGCTGTTCTTCCAGTTCCTCCGTGTCCCTCTGTCCCTCCTTGTCCCCGCTGTCCCCGCCCTGCCCCTCCCCTGTCCCCGCCGTGCCCCGGTGCCGCCGCGGGCGCTCTGTGGCTTTAAGGGCGCTGCCCGGGCCGGTCCCGGGGCCGAAGTCCGCGGGCCCGGTGCTGGCGGCGGGGCCGGGATGCAGCTCCCGGCGGGCCCGGCCGCCCTGGCCGCCCCCCTGCTCGCCCTCCCGGTGGCCTTCGGTGTCAGTGCTGTCACCTCCCTGGAGTGAGTGGGGACCGGGAGAGACCCCCGGGAATGGGAGAGACCCCGGCAATGGGGAACGGGAGTGGGGACCGGGAGAGAACTCGGGGACCGGGAGAGACCCCCGGGAATGGGAGAGACCCCGGCAATGGGGAACGGGAGTGGGGACCGGGAGAGAACTCGGGGACCGGGAGAGACCCCCGGGAATGGGAGAGACCCCGGCAATGGGGAACGGGAGTGGGGACCGGGAGAGAACTCGGGGACCGGGAGAGACCCCCGGGAATGGGAGAGACCCCGGCAATGGGGAACGGGAGTGGGGACCGGGAGAGAACTCGGGACCGGGAGAGACCCCCGGGAATGCGGAATGGGAGTGGGGACCAGGAGGGACCCCGGGAATGGAGAGACCCCCGGGAATGCAGAGTGGGGAGCGGGGAACGGGCGTGGGGAAGGGGGAATGGAAAAAGGGAATGGGGAGTGAAAAAGGGGAAGGGGGAACGGGGTCCTGCCTGGGGGAGAGGCTGGGTCCGTCCTGGCTCTGGGAATCCGGTCCGGGACAGGGGCTGGGTCCGTCCTGGATCTGGGAATCCGGTCCGGGACAGGGGCTGGGTCCGTCCTGGCTCTGGGAATCCGGTCCGGGACAGGGGCTGGGTCCGTCCTGGCTCTGGGAATCCGGTCCGGGACAGGGGCTGGGTCCGTCCTGGCTCTGGGAATCCGGTCCGGGACAGGGGCTGGGTCCGTCCTGGCTCTGGGAATCCGGTCCGGGACAGGCAGCTCGATCCCGGTGTTCCCATGGGAAGGCGGCTGCAGGTGCGGTTTTCCCGCTGGGTTTGAATCCCCTCTGGGAAGTTCAGACCCCACAGAGCCTCTCCCGGAGAGCCCAGTTCCCGGGAATTCGGGTGATCCCGGCCTGGAGCCCCCTCCGTGCCCCTCCGGGAGTGTCCCCGCTGTCGCTGACGTGTCCCCGCCTCTGTCCCCGCTGTCACCGGGGCCGCTTTCGCTTTGCCCGCCCGCAATTCCCGATCCGAGGCTGCGGGAGCGGCTCCGGGCGATCCCAGCGCCGCCCGCTCTCCTTGCTCCTGGCTCACAAATCGGGATTTGGGTCTCGTTTGGGGCTTTTCCACACAGCCTGGAGAGGGACAGGGCGACCCCGGTGGGGCCCCGGCCCCATTCCCATTCCCAGTCCCTGCTGGGGTCACACCCACCCTGCTTTTGGGATTTTATCCATTCCCAGTCCCTGCTGGCATCACCCCCGCCCTGCTTTTGGGATTTTATCCATTCCCAGTCCCTGCTGGCATCACCCCCGCCCTGCTTTTGGGATTTTATCCATTCCCAGTCCCTGCTGGCATCACCCCCGCCCTGCTTTTGGGATTTTATCCATTCCCAGTCCCTGCTGGCATCACCCCCGCCCTGCTTTTGGGATTTTATCCATTCCCAGTCCCTGCTGGCATCACCCCCGCCCTGCTTTTGGGATTTTATCCATTCCCAGTCCCTGCTGGCATCACCCCCGCCCTGCTTTTGGGATTTTATCCATTCCCAGTCCCTGCTGGCATCACCCCCGCCCTGCTTTTGGGATTTTATCCATTCCCAGTCCCTGCTGGCATCACCCCCGCCCTGCTTTTGGGATTTTATCCATTCCCAGTCCCTGCTGGCATCACCCCCGCCCTGCTTTTGGGATTTTATCCATTCCCAGTCCCTGCTGGCATCACCCCCGCCCTGCTTTTGGGATTTTATCCATTCCCAGTCCCTGCTGGCATCACCCCCGCCCTGCTTTTGGGATTTTATCCATTCCCAGTCCCTGCTGGCATCACCCCCGCCCTGCTTTTGGGATTTTATCCATTCCCAGTCCCTGCTGGCATCACCCCCGCCCTGCTTTTGGGATTTTATCCATTCCCAGTCCCTGCTGGCATCACCCCCGCCCTGCTTTTGGGATTTTATCCATTCCCAGTCCCTGCTGGCATCACCCCCGCCCTGCTTTTGGGATTTTATCCATTCCCAGTCCCTGCTGGCATCACCCCCGCCCTGCTTTTGGGATTTTATCCATTCCCAGTCCCTGCTGGCATCACCCCCGCCCTGCTTTTGGGATTTTATCCATTCCCAGTCCCTGCTGGCATCACCCCCGCCCTGCTTTTGGGATTTTATCCATTCCCAGTCCCTGCTGGCATCACCCCCGCCCTGCTTTTGGGATTTTATCCATTCCAAATCCATGCCAGGGTCACACACACCCTGCTTTTGGGATTTTATCCATTCCAAATCCATGCTAGGATCACACCCACCCTGCTTTTGGGATTTTATCCATTCCCAATCCCTGCTGGGATGTCCCAACCACCCTTCCATTGCGATTTTCCCATTCCCAATCCCTGCTGGGATCCCATCTTCCCATCATCCCATCTTTTGGGATTCACCCCCTGGGATTTGCCCCCTTTGGGATTTCCCCCCCGGGTTATTCCCAGATCCAGATTTCCCCCTCACGACGGACATCGCGCCCCCCGTTCTGCGGGGTCTGATCCCAATCCTAAAACTCAGCGGGACCGGGAGTGTGATGGGGGTGGGGGATGGGGATTTGGGTGGGGATGGGGGATATGGGGCCGTGCCCGTGCTGCAGCGGCCCCGATCCCACAGCAGCCCCCCGGCGCTGGCCCTGGCCCTGGTCCTGCTGCTCCTCGGCCTCGTCTCCCTCCTCATCCTCACCGGCGGCGTCGGCCTCATCCAGGACCCCCTGTTCTGCTGTGAGACCCCGGCGCGGGGTTGGGATTTGGGGTCTGGGGAGATCTGGGGTTGTGGGACCCACACAGGGCAGGGATTTGGGATCTGGGATCTGGGATTTGAGATTTGGGATTTGGGGAAGCTGTGGGACCCACATGGAGCATGGATTTGGGATTTTGGGGGAGCTGTGGGACCCACATGGAGCAGGGATTTGGGATTTGGGATTTTGGGGGAGCTGTGGGACCCACGAGGAGCAGGGATTTGGGGTTTGAGGGAGCTGTGGGACTCACATGGAACATGGATTTGGGATTTGGGATTCGGAGGAGCTGTGCAACCCACATGGAGCAGGGATTTGGGATCTGATGGGAATCACTGGGACTCAGAGCAGGGATTTGGGATCCGGGGAGAGCTGCAGGACCCACAGGGAGCAGGGATTTGGGATTTAAGGTTTTGGGGGAACCCGCAGGGAGCAGGAATATGGGGTTTGGGATTTTGGGGGAGCAGGAGTGTGGGGTTTGGGATTTTGGGGGAGCAGGACTGTGGGGTTTGGGATTTTGGGGGAGCAGGAGTGTGGGGTTTGGGATTTTGGGGGAGCAGGAATGTGGGGTTTTGGATTGTGGGGACTCTGCAGGGAGCAGGAATGTGGGGTTTGGGGTTTTGGGGACCCTGCAGGGAGCAGGAATGGGGGGTTTGGGGTTCTGGGGACCCTGCAGGGAGCAGGAATGGGGGGTTTGGGGTTTTGGGGACCCCGCACGGAGCCCCCCTGCTCCCGCAGTGTTCGTGGTGTTCTCCTTCGCGTCGGCCGTGGATTTGCTGATCGCGCTGGAGGAGGACGGGATCATCTCGGGCTTCACGGAGCTCTACGTGCGGGAGGTGCCAGCCCTGCCCCGCGCACCCACCCCGGGCTGCGGCACCCCCCGACCCCCGGGGCGACCCTCCCGGTGTCCCCACCGCCGGTGTGACCCAGTGTCACCGCCCTCGCTGTAACCCCGCCGGTGTCCCCCGGTGTCACCCGTGTCCCCTCCCGGTGTCCCCACCGCCGGTGTGACGCAGTGTCACCGCTCCTGCTGTAATCCCCCCCACCGTGTCCCCCGGTGTCACCCGGGTCTCCTCCCGATGTCGCCACCCCCGGTGTCCCCAGCCCCGGTGTGACCCAGTGTCACCGCCCCCGCTGTAACCCCCCCCGTTGGCTCCCGGTGTCGCACCCCCCGGGATGACCCGGTGTCCCCTCCCGGTGTCCCCACGGTCGGTGTGACCCAGTGTCACCGCCCTCGCTGTAACCTCCCCGGTGTCCCCCGGTGTCACCCGTGTCCCCTCCCGGTGTCCCCCAGTGTCGCCACCCCCAGTGTGAGCCGGTGTTCCCTCCCGGTGTCCCCTGGCGGTGTCCCCAGCCCCGGTGTGACCCGTGTCCCCTGGCGGTGTGACCCGTGTCCCCTCGCGGTGTCCCGTGTCCCCTGGCGGTGTGACCCGTGTCGTCTCCCCGTGTCCCCTCGCGGTGTCCCCTGGCGCTGTGACCCGTGTGCCGCTGTCCCCGCAGGGCGATCCCCACCTGCGCACGGCTCACGGGCTCCTCACCTGCTACTGGGACGGCGCCGTGCACTACGGGCTGTGCCTGGCCATGGCCGGGGCCGCGGGGCGCAGGTGGGCGGGGGGACCCCCGGGACCCCTGGGGAGGGGGCGGGAGAACCCCGGGATTCCTGAGGAGGGGGTTCGGGAGAGTCCCGGAATCCCTGAGGAGGGGGAACCCCGGAATCCCTGGGGGGTGGGGGCGTGGGGACCCCGGAATTCCTGAATAAGGGCTCGGGAGGACCCCGAATTTCCTGGGGAGGGGGCTCGGGAGAACCCCGGCATCCCTGAGGAGGGGGGAGAACCCCGAATTTCCTGAATAAGGGCTCGGGAGAACCCCGGAATTCCTGAGGAGGGGGTTCGGGAGAGTCCCCGATTTCCTGGGGAGGGGGCTCGGGAGAACGCCGGAATTCCTGAATGGGGGCTCGGGAGAGAGAATCCCGGAATCCCTGAGGAGGGGGCTCGGGAGAGAGAACCCCAGAACCCCTGAGGAGGGGGGGAACTCCGGAATTCCTGAGGAGGGGGCGGGAGAACGCCGGGACCCCTGGGGAGGGGGCGGGAGAACCCCGGAATTCCTGAGGAGGGGGTTCGGGAGAGGCCCGGAATCCCTGAGGAGGGGGAACCCCGGAATCCCTGGGGGGTGGGGGCGTGGGGACCCCGGAATTCCTGAATAAGGGCTCGGGAGGACCCCGAATTTCCTGGGGAGGGGGCTCGGGAGAACCCCGGCATCCCTGAGGAGGGGGGAGAACCCCGAATTTCCTGAATAAGGGCTCGGGAGAACCCCGGAATTCCTGAGGAGGGGGTTCGGGAGAGTCCCCGATTTCCTGGGGAGGGGGCTCGGGAGAACGCCGGAATTCCTGAATGGGGGCTCGGGAGAGAGAATCCCGGAATTCCTGAGGAGGGGGCTCGGGAGAACCCCAGAACCCCTGAGGAGGAGGGAGAACCTCGAATTTCCTGAATAAAGGCTCGGGAGAGTCCCGAATTTCCTGGGGAGGGGGCGTAGGGGTAGGGATAGGGACAATTCCCGAGTTTTGAGGAGGGGGCTCACGGTGATCCCGGAGGGAATGAGAAAATCCCAAATTTTGTGAGGAGGGGGCTACATGATCCCGGGCGGGGGGGCGCGTGGAGCTGGAAAATCCCGAATTTCCTGAGGAGGGGGCTCAAGGGGGCGGGGAAATCCCTAATTTCCTGAGGAGGGGGCTCAGGGGTGGTCCCGGGGTAATGGGAGTGAAAAATCCCGAATAATTTTGAGGAGGGGACTCGGGAATGATCCCGGGGGCGGTTGAAAAATCCCGAATAATTCTGAGGAGGGGGCTCGGGGGTGACCCGGGGAGAAGAGAGGGGGTGACAAACCCCGAACAATTTTGAGGAGGGGTCTCCCGCCGTCCCCGCAGGAAGAGCTACCGGGGGCTGGGTCTCTTCTGGCTGGGCTCGCTGCTGATGAGCGCCGTGGTTTTCCTGCTGGGCAACCTGATCGGTACGGCCGTGGGGAGGGGGCTGGGGCCGGGCCCGACCCCCCCATCCCCCCGGCAGGAGGAGGAGGAGGAAGGGGAGGAAGGCTCCGTGCCCACCCCGCGCTCTGTCCCGCAGGGAAATACAGCTCCGAGCTGAGCCCGTCCTTCCTCCTCAACCTGCCCTACCTCCTCCTCCTCACCTGGGCCGGCCTCCGGCTCTTCCAGCAGCCGCGGGCGCTGCCGAGCCTCAGCCCCGAGCAGGTGAGGCCGGGGCGGGGGGGTTTGGGGGCGGCTGCTGCCCCCCCAGGGCTGGATCAGAGGGTGAGGACCCCAAAAATCCCGAATTTCCTCTCGCAGATTGCAGAGGAGCAGCGCAAACCTCTCCACCAGCGGCCTTGGGACCTGCTCCTCATCCTCATCCTCATCCTCACCGCAGCCTTCACCTTCTTCAGGGGGATGGTGAGCGCTGGGGGCGGCTGGGGAGGGGGCTCG